ATTTATAGAATCAGATCCAACGCTATTCTGTATCCCTCGTAGGATACAGAGGTTAATAAAAGACCTTCTGGCAAGGAGCCCAGCAGGTAGAAGAAACATATAACATAAGTAGTTGTAACATTCTTGAAATATCCTAGCATCGGTGGACACTTTAGAGAAATCAAACTCACTGCCATCAAGTAGATCCAAACTCATTGCCTCCCTATAGGATAGGGTAGAATTGCTCTATAGGGTTTCAGAAGTTACGAGTCTTCTGGAAGCCGACTATTGCATTCCTCCTGGTCCCCAACTCCAGGTGACTGACGAGTTAGAAACACCAAACATTTAACCTACTATGCCACCAGAGCTCCTTACGTTAAGGAAAAGGGATAATGAAGAATTTGTTGGGGCCCTTGGGACAAATGCCATATTGCTCTGGGTAGCATTTGGATCTAGGCAGGGGACTAGAAAGGAGACATAAGGGAGAGTTTTAAATGAGGCATTCTAGAGTGCCAGTCAGTGAACATACATTTAATTCTTGCTGTTCTATGTTCAGCTTTACGTCAATAACATTTATGGAGAATTGTCTATCAGTCAGGTATTATGTTAGATATTGTGGGAAATTTAAAAATGAATGATCCCAGTCACCAAGGATTCTTGGAGTGGATAGAATACTGAACACATTAACTGAAATAATAAGGTTGAGTCTATTGGATGATACAAACCTATAGAAATAAAGTGGTTTAGTGGGTTACACATTGGGCTGGTAACTTCAAGGCCTTAAAAACAAAACAATACAACACAATAACAGACTCATTGCCATTGGGTAAATTCTGACTCATAGTGACCTTATAGGGCAGGGTAGAAGTGACTATGGATTTCTGAGAAAATCACTTTTTTTAAAGACCATTTTATTGAGGGATTTTACAGCACTTATAACAATCCATACATCAATTGTATCAAGCACATTTGTACATATGTTGCCATCATTATTTTCTAAACATTTACTTTCTGTTTGAGCCTTTTACCCTCCCTCCCCTCCTCATGACTCCTTGATAAATTATAAATTATTGTTTTCATATCTTACACTGTGTGAGACAATCACTTTTTACTGTGATAGACAGACTCCTCTTTCTCCCCCCCACCCAGAGAGGCTGGCAGCTTTAAAAAAATATTTTATTGGGGGCTTGTACAATTCTTATCACAATCCATATATACATCCATTGTGTCAAGCACATATGTACATTTGTTGCCCTCATCATTCTCAAAACATTTGCCTTCTAC